ATATATATATATATATATATATATATATATATATATATATATATATATATATATATATATATATGTTTCTTTATTAATAATGCAGTTTTTATATCTATTTGGTCCATTTTCATATTGTGAATAGTTGTTAAAATGTTCTTAATTATATTTTCTTGTAATATGTGAATATGTGTCGAAAAAGGTCATGATCCTCCTTTTGACTACATTTTTAGCTACCAAACGAGCTTTATATTTATCAATGGTACCACCAGATCTTAATTCTTTTTGAGTACCATTTATGTCTAATTGATTTTTATCCAGATAGAAAATGCAAATTCACATATATTATTCTACATAATTGAATCTATCTTACTTTGAATCGCATGGTTCTAGTAAGGGGTTTCTAAAAAATTCATAGCATCCTTATAAAGTTAGGGTTCATCTAAACGAAGATGTAGTGATGACATTTCTCATCACCATAGCCTTTTTTCCCCTTGTACTGTATAAAGGATTACAAAAAGATATTTAGATATATTTTAGATCTTGTGTGGTTTTGGTGTTAAGATCTAAAATGAATACTTATTGCAATACTTTGTCTTGGAAATCATTATTATCGTTGGGCTATTATCAACGAGATGGTGTCAGTTTCCAAGAGTACTAATTTAAGGTCGGAAAATAACTCCAAGAGGTTGTGTTATTTTATGCTCGTTCGTTCTTATATATGGACGCTAAAGTTCTTGTGTATTTTTAGAAAAAAAAATTAATACTTATATATTTTTGTTTAGACGAGATTGAACTTATTTTTTTTCTTTGGTTTAAACATATGTTTAAATTTTCTAGTGTCTAACAGACTAACTGGTGTTGTGATCTGATCATTGTTTGTTCGACTTTGTTGCAGCTATTTTGTAAGTTGTAACCATTTGGTTTTTGTGCCAAACTCTTTGGTAGCTAGTATTTCTTTTTTCCTAATAAAGTTTCGTCGGTTTCCTAAAAAAGGACTTGTTAGAGCTCTAGGTTATTAAAACAGTTAACTACAATGAGCTAACTAGTCGAAAGAAATGTATATGCTCCTAAGTCATAAGGTCATCATCTCCAACTCTTTAGGCTAAGGGGTGTCCTTATAATGTATTTATGGGTGAAAACGATTCAACATCATCATCATGTCTTTTAACAACACACCTACTATACTTTGGGGGTGGTGTTCATTAGTGAAGAGAGAGAGAGTTCCCTCAAGTCACCACCCCCACTCTACAATACAATTACTATTCTTTGGGGTGATGTGGTAAATCCCACTCACCCCCACTCTACGATACAATTACTATTCTTTGGGGTGATGTGGTAAAATCATTTCCACATAGGATTCCTACGTGTAAAAAAGACATCATACCGGATAGCCTTATACTTGGTAAAACTGTTAGAGGTGCAACATTCCCTTGCACCTATCATACTAATTAATTAAATCTTTAAACTTTTGACTCAAGTTAATTGTCAATGGCTGATGACATATAGACTTGTTATGTACGTTGGGTCTTTCCAAACACCACCACACTGTTAACATTATGCTGACTCTACTCATTTGTCTTTCTAGAGAAGAATAAGCACTGTTTGGGTTATGAGTGTAGCTCACCACCAAATGAGTTGATGATTGTCACTGATAACACTTGTCACTTTTTAATTTGTATGGTTCATAATTCTCTTTTTCATCTTTCTTTTCCTTTATAGCTAGCCTTTTTTTCCATCTTCTCTTTTCTGCTCGTGCTTGCATATCAACTCATATCAATATTCAATTGCTCTCTATGCTTATGATTATTCAAGGATCATAATCATCTAGCACTAAAGAAAAGTTGGTGGTGAATTTGATGCAGAATTGAAGCAGTACGATACAGTACCTGTAATATTAGTTAAATTTTATCATGGACACCATGGATCAATCATCATGCGTCCCTCCTGGATTTCGATTTCATCCTACTGATGAAGAACTTGTCGGTTACTACCTAAGGAAGAAGGTTGCATCTCAGAAGATCGATCTTGATGTAATTAGAGACATCGATCTATACAGGATCGAACCATGGGATCTGATAGGTATTCTTTCGCTTCCTTGGTTTCTTATTACGTAGTATTGCTACAAGATCCAAAGATCGTAGAAGAAAATCTTTGCTTAAGTTTTCATATTGCTAATAATTAGGTTTTAGGTTTTTTCTTTTCATTTATAAAGAAAACCATTTTGTCAAAATCTCAGCCAGCCTATGATCAATATCAAGCTATGATCATGACGACAAATATTTTTGAATATACTTTTGATAGGACATTGACTGATCAGTAACGTACGTTTGATCTGTTTTTTTCTTTTCTTTTTTTATAGAAAGATGTAGGATTGGATACGAAGAGCAAACTGAATGGTACTTCTTTAGTCACAAGGATAAAAAGTATCCAACGGGAACGAGGACGAATAGGGCAACAATGGCAGGTTTTTGGAAGGCTACTGGAAGAGACAAAGCAGTTTACGAAAAACTAAGGCTCATAGGAATGAGGAAAACTCTTGTGTTCTATAAAGGAAGAGCACCAAATGGACAGAAAACCGATTGGATCATGCATGAATACAGGCTTGAATCCGAAGAAAATGGTCCTCCTCAGGCAAGTAATTATTCCAAATGTAGATCTCATTCACTCTTCATAAAATTGTTCTTGCTTACGATATATATCATCTTTTTTCCAGTTTTTTGTTATCATGGGTTATTGTTTCTCTTTTGATAAATCTTCAGATTTAATCTTTAAAAATATGGTTTTTGATTTTATGTTATTTTTACTATCTTCATCTATTTTCCATATATTAACCATGGTGTCTTCTTTGTTGAGTCGTACATTTCATATTTAAAGAAAACGTAGTTCTCTTCATCTTTTCCAATGTTTCCAGTTTTAATTTTTTTCTCTACTTTTCTTCGATCTTTCATATTTGTTCTCTGGATCAAATCATCAAAACGTCAATATGCTCAATATTGTACCATATATATTTTATGTTTTGATAAAAAAAATTATTCTTGGTTTATTTCTTATAAAAAACGCAAGTGCGAAGGAGATCTAAAGACTAAACAAGGAACAAAAACACCTTCAGTGCGTAAATTCATAAAGAAATTTATATTTCGACTAATCACCATCAAATAATTTGTTTCGGTTAGTGTTTTTCACCTCGTTTACTAGCTACAACATAATATATATTAGACTGATTAGAGCTCCCATGTTGAAATTCCGATCCCGCTGTTCGTTTTTAATCAATCAATTTCCACAATTTTATAAAGTTTAATGGATATATATTTTATACAATTTTATTATTTTTTTCTCTGGATTAAATTTTACAAGTTTCAATAGAATATGTTCAAAAAAAATCATTTATGCTTTTAGTTTTAACCTACAAGATATCATGTGTGTGTGTCGTATAAAAATATCTTTTTTCATGCATGCTCTCCGCCACTGTCTTGTATTCTTTAGTTTGTGTTTGGATGTCCCTTTCCCTTAATTTCCTTTTTGGTGTAAAATCTTTGAGAGTATGTGTGTGTATGTGAGGCAAAAAACTTTTACTTTCACCGTTTCACGACTATCAATAATAAAAAAAAACGTTCATCACAAAGATAATTTCAATTCAAAGGAAGGTGCAAAGTACTTGGCTTTTCGCCGTGAGCTTTTTAACTTCTTAAAGTAGTCTTCCACCATGTACACATAATCCATCCCAGTTTGACTTCCGTATCATGTTTTCTTTGGTTTCAGAACACTTCTTAGTCACTAAGTCAAAGAGGATATAGCAATAAAGGAATGGTTTAAAATGTTTCGTACAAAAGTATAAATATAATAATTTTGGACTCAGCTAGCTAAGAAAATTGCAATTAATCAATTAAAAGAAGTTTGCTCGATCCCTATTATATATTTTCTAACTGATCTAGCTACTGGTTACCTTCTTTTGTGAAATTATTTAGTTGAGTATATATGCATGGTGATCAATCTTTTGCAGGAAGAAGGATGGGTGGTGTGTCGTGCATTCAGGAAACGATCAACCGGACAAACTAAAACCACCGAAGGATGGGAATCAAACTTCTTCTATGATGATTCAAGCCGCATGGATCCGATTGATTACATTACAAGTCAACCCTCGAGTTCCATATTTTCACAAAGCTTCCTGTGCAAGCAAGAGTTGGAAGCAGTAGAGAATTTGAACTTCGTCCACTGTGATCAATATGTACAACTTCCACAACTCGAAAGCCCATCTCTCCCATTAATAGAGAAACCTAGCTCTATATCATTGGTGTCATCATCTGAAAATAATGATCTAGAAGACGATCTACAAGGAGAGAGAAACATACACAACAACAAAATTAGTATGAATAATATAGATAACGTCGATAAAGTAACTGACTGGAGAGCTCTTGATAAGTTTGTAGCTTCTCAGTTGAGCCAAGAGGATCGATATGGGCTTGGTGAAGGTTTGTCTTCCAGCTTTCAAGGGAAAGAAAATTCGAATTTCTCTTATATGTTTATAGAACGTGGTAGGGAAGAAGAAGATGGTGGAGGAGGAGGAGGGAAGCTGAATGTTTTGTTGAGTTCGAGCCACCAAGATCATTCTGATATTGGAATGTGCATATTTGATAAGTGATGAATACGAAGGACTACATTGATGCACTGAGGAGATGATAATACTGGTAGTCTCATAAGTATAAGAGTTCAGTGATGAATACGAAGCACTACATTGATGCAATGACGAAATAATAAATTGATAATACTAGTAGTCTCATAAGTATAAGAGTTCGCTAATCTTGAGACATATATAACGCATACATGTATCTTTGTCATTTTCTTTATATATTGTTGTGAAGGAGTCGTAAGAGTACAAAATAAGAACCACTCTTCCCTTATATTACCAACGAGTCATATACAATGTATACACAAAAACTATTTCCTATTTTATAAATTTAAGATTCGTTATTAAACAAAAATCTTTGTTTAAGTTTCCGTTCTTTGAAACAATATTGTAGAAAAGAACTTTCCTTGCACTCATAGGAAAAGGTTAAAAAATTTGGGGCAAAGAGGGAAAAATAGATATGAAAAAAATCAATTTGACTCGTTATACCAAAACTGATTCCCATAAACCCCCTTAAATCTCTGATCGATTAAGGTAAGTTATGTATTTTTAGTTGATTCTTCATATTTTCCACGAATGTAATGATTAATAACACAATTGATGTATTTTAGTAGGACGTCTTGTACCATGGATGGTTGTATCATACTTGATTTCATCGTTTATACTGTGAAGTATCATGATCCTACTCTCATAATGATAATTAATGTTGATTTTGGAGGAATGGAATACAATGTATTCTAAAAATTTGTTGCAAAATCTATTTAAGGAATTGGGTTGGCATGTTTACGATTGTGTTCAAAAAAGCCATTAACTATTTTGCAAAAACATTAAGATGTATGAAGTACTATAACATTCTTAAACATGGATACCATTATGATAGAATTATCCTTTATATAGATACTAATCTATAACCCGTAAGAACCATGGTTACAAATTTAATTAAACTTTCATAATAAAATTCAAAATTATTATAATCTATGTTAATTTTATTTTAATTTTTATTATAATGTTATTAATTTAATGTAATTACAGTGGGAAATTTGAAATTTGAAATGGAGAATCAATAGGTTGACAAGTGTCATGACATTAATCAGGATGTCTAACAGGGTGATACACGGCAAAAGAAGATTAAACATATTCATTTATTAGAATAGGGAGATCATGGGGAATATTTGACAAACTACTTAGAAGAGATAGAGTAGACCTACTTAGGAGAGATGGAGTAGACAAGGTAGACAATGACGCATTATCTGAAGATATTTCTATATGACATGAATAATAAGACGATGTAGCAAGCTTGAACAAAATACGAGATGACCATTTTTGTTAGAACTTTGTGTTGATTATCATATTCTAAAATAAGCCACAACAACTGATGATAATCATAATTGTGCAGACGAAGTTCTCTACCCTATATACGATCTTTCCATTCCTTATATGTCAATCATCCCTATTTTAGGGATGAAATCAAAAACAACTAAAAGAATACATATCCAACTATGATGTTGCGAATAGTTATGCCAACTATATGAAATATGATAACCTGTGGTTATCGGTTAGTCATGGTAAACGAAATAGTGACATTCATTGTCCTTCAGACTGTACGTGTCTTAGAGGGGCAAGAACACTTATCCAAATTAAGTCTTTAATTTGTAACCACCGTCTTGAATGAAATTTGCAAGGAACTTGTTATATATTCTTAGATTTCTATGTAATAAGTGTTGTAGATAGAAATTTTTACTTACCGCTTACATCTTGAAATTGAACTAACATCACATGCAAGGCAAAGATCTTGAATTTATTCAGTATGTTGGACTTTCATCATTTTTCTTATAAAATCTTGTGCATGGACTCAAGGCTTAAAGAAAAAGAAATATACCAAGTCAACTACACGTGGTCAATGCCTCATTAACTTTGAAGACCCTCTAGAAAATCGGGTCAAGCAAAGATCAAGGAGAATCCCAAGAATCTTGGAATTCTAGTTATTCTTGTTATGTATAAAATACTAGTTGATCAATGCACATAGAAATGTCTACTTCTTCTTTTCTTATTCTTTCAACATTTTAGCACAAACACATTCTTTCTAAGATCATGTAGCACTTGTAACATTTATTTACGATATAATATGTGTTCTAGGGCAGGTGAGTTTATCACCTCCTGAGGTTTTATGTCGAAAAACCAAAAGGATTAAGGTCTTTCTTCGTACATCTATGTGTTCTTACTTTGATTTTACCCATTAATAATTGTTTAAATGATTATAACATTGTTTACATAGTTGTTTGATCGTTTATCCGTTTTCATATCAGCTTATCAAGATATTTGGTGGAATCTTGATACCTTCTCAAGTATCTTAGAATTTCCTTATATAAAATTATCTATTAACTATTTTATCAATATTTTTTCCCGAATACTCCAAATATAATTGCTTATAATTTAAAATGAATCAACTTTATTAAACAGTTTTCTGAATATCACTATCTTCTTCCCATGATCTTGGGTACAACCAAGATCTTTGACATATCTCAAGATCTTCAACGCTCTAATTTTCAACATTATTCTTAAACATCACACCATACTTACTAATTTGGTTATGAAATTAGTTTGTTAATTTGTGACCAAAACAATTTGGCGTCACGTGGGACAAGTGGTGTTATTCTATTTTTCTCTTTAAAGTTATTCAAAAAGTTTTTTCAGATTTTCAATCACTTACATAATTTTGCACAAAAAATGTCTTCTTTACCAAAATCCACTTCTAGCATTATTTCATTTGTCTCAAGTGGTTAGAGCCTTCCCTCACTTTCTGCAGCCACCTCACAAAGAAGGAATTTTGATATCCCTAGAAGGGGAATCCCAACATCCTTGTCACTCCAATACTCAGGAAGTGCAACTCAGGAAATATCAATTATGGTCTCGAACAAAGAGATCATAGCTATGTTGACTAGAATGGATCGACATGTCACTAAGCAAAGTGAAACCAACAAGATGATATTCGATCAGGTGGAAGCACTAGGCTCCCAGTACGGGAGATCTTGTATCCCAAGTCGGAGACTTCATATCCAAGAAAGCTTCCATCTTCACAGATGTGGCAACTCCTAGTACAGGAGATCTTGTATACCAAGATCTTGAAAGGATGTTTAATATTCCACTTAGTACCCAAGATCATCGGATAAGACCATTCATGGCAAAGGAACTCAAGCAACTAAGAGATATGATCTCAAGTGTACCATGAGTCATTCAACCAATACCAGAGGTTTCACCTGTCATGTAACATCCTGTTCTGAGAAGTTTCTTATTTCGGGATTGAAGGCAATAAATGGATCAAGTAAAGGTCGTGGGCTTCAAGGGAATAGGGTTTATACCCTATTGGATGTTGATAATATTGGTTAGGTGATCTAAGCCATTGGTTTGTGTTTTGGAGCTAAGGGGTAAAATGGGAAAAGTTATATGTTAGGCTTTTTGCATGGATTATGGTTTTTAGTTTGAAAAGTGTTAAGCCGAAATTAACTAGATAGAAGTGTGGGGCTCGTCAATACCTTTTCGTGGATGTAAACATCGCCGGAAATGGAGTTGAAATGAAAAGATTATGGTTGTTTGAAGTTGAGGTGATTTTGGGTGAAAGTCATGGCCACAGACTGGGGATCAGTAAGGCCCCAAGCCCATGATTTTTATAGGGTATTCAATGTATTTAAGCTTAATATTCCGCATTTTTGGGCATTTTATCAGCTTCCATCATCTCTAGAACCTCTTGGGAGAAACCCTAACCTCCACCTTCAAGATTTGAGCTTCTCAACTCTCATTTCTTCTCTTTTGGATGTTTTTTATGTTATTTTTATGAAATAAGAAGATCACGAAGATTATTTTAGTTGCAAGGAATGATGCTTCAAGTTTGGATCCATCAAAGGCACTACATTTTTGGACCATTGTAAGTATAAAGTTCCAATCTTGTTATCTAGTTCATTAGATCTTTTCATTTGGGGGTTTTTGGCACATTTGGTCCAGTTTATGAGTGACCTTGGAGTTGAGTGGACTCCAACATCTTTTGATCATTTTGGAATGTTTCTTGGACTCCATGGACTAGGAAAGTTATGATTGTTTGCCTGCCCTTTTAGCCATGCAAGTTATCTTGGTCCTTTAGGCCATTTTGGTGTATTAGAGTTTAGATATTGAATGATTGGGGAATTATTATGGATAAATTTGGAAACTTTATCCCTCTAGACATCTTGTTGATTCAGATCTGGAAGTGGGGGACTTGGACTTAATGGATTAAGTTGAGAAAGATGCATTTTTGGTCCATTTAAGACTTAAAGTCTACATCTTGGTGTTTTGGACCTTCCTAATGGATAAAGTTAGAAATTTTATCCATTAAGACCTTGGAAAGAATCAAATCTGAGCTTTGGAGATCTTGAAATCGGGAAAAAAATGGATTAAGCTCATTTGAGCTGTTCAGACCAATCCCCACGGTGTGGCCTTTGGCTGCCACGGCGTGGCAACTTAGGAATCAACGATTGTTTTGGTACTTAGTACCCACGACGTGGCCAAGGAAGCCCATGACATAGAGGGCTGTTGTTGGCAATTTTGACATTAGCTTTGACCATTGACTTTTTGACATGTTTGACTTTTGGTCAAACTTGGGTAGAATTGTCTATTTGACTAAGGGTTGGTTTCGGATTTGCTTTAGGAAGCTTGAATTGGTTGTTCTGATGTTGAAGTAGATGTTGGGGTTCTGTTAAGTAGTTCAGGTGATTCTTGTCACTGTACTTGTGGGTCAAAGGCACCAATGTCGGCCCAATAGATTGTGTTATATGATGGGTTTTAGTATACTCCAACATCGTATGGTGTACATACAACCCTAAATGCTTTGGATCTATGTTTTCTATAATTATACATGAAATATTGTTTCCAAAGCATTAAGCCTACAACTAGCATACAAAAGATATAAACAACATGGAATTGAGTTATAGAATTACCTCCTTGTTGTAGCTTGTAGAACTTCTTGAAGTTTGGCCTTTAAGAACTTAGTGCCCCAAGTGTTGCACCTCAAATGGAATCACAACACATCTTTGGACAAAGGATGAATTTTGAGAGAATATTCTTGCACCTAAAATCGGCTCATGGAACTCCAAGGATTACTAGTGTCCATTTTGGATGCTAAGGGACTTCTTATATAGTGTGACAAGATTAGGGTTAGCACCATG